ATCCAGTGATTTTTTTTTTCAGTCTAGACATTTCATTTATTTTTTATGGTTTCCATTTCTCTGAGATTCTTTATCTATTTACTAATTATAACCACAGTTTCCATTAAATTCTTGAAAATATTTAAAATAGCAACTTTAAAACATGATCTTGCCAGTTCTACCATCTGGGTCATCCCAAGGTCAGTTTCTATCAATTAGTTTTTCTCTTGAGTATAGGTCACATTTTTCTTTTACTTTTTTCTGTCTAATCATTACATGTTTGACATTGAGAATGATACTTCCAAGGGAGTCTGGATTTTGTTGTCTGCCTTTAATGTTGTTGATTTTGTTCTTATAAATCCTCTTGGTCCTGTATTGTTTAATTTTATCCTTTCTTAGAGCATCTAATATGGGGAAAACTTTGTCCTAAGACATGCTCTTTACACTAAGGCATGCTCTAACTTTTAAAAAGCATGCCTTTCTGGGGTCTTCAGCATTGAAACAGAATACCTGAAGTGCTCTATTAGGTCTCTCCACCCCACTGAGTTAGAACTCAGTGTATCTACCACTGTATAACATGCAGCAGAGCTAATGCTAGTCTTTGCAGAGTATTGCTTTGCCTGTATTCAGCCCAACTCTTGGCCAGAGACCCATGGCTAATCTTAATGTAGACTTGGGAACCCCCTTTTTCACAGCTATTTACTCCCAAGTATTCCACCTTGTATATTTCAGCTTCTTCAACAGCCTAGAACTCCAGTCTCTCCATCATTAGTTAAGTGAGACCACCTTTTTACTTGGGTTCTACCCTTTTGTACCCCAGAAGAAAGGTTCCCTTAGATAGAAAAGCCAGGACAATTATGGTATTGTGGACTTCCTATCATGTGTTTACCTCTTCTCAAAGATCACAGCCCAAGGCTGTTGTCCAGTGCTTGAAAAGATTTGTCTTGTATATTTTTTTCCAGTTTATACTTGTTTTCAGTGGGAGAGTAAGTCAGGTACCTATTACTTTTTCCTGGCTAGCGAAGCAGAAGTCCTGAAACACATTAAGTTTACACTAAGATTTAAACGACTAATACTACATTCCCTAAAAGGAAGTTTGACAAAGAACAGGTAAGAGTGTGCATGATAAAAATTTTAGGAGTGACTAAAAAGGAAAATGGAATTTTTTTTTTTTAACTTTTATTGTGGTGAAAACATAAGACATTTACCAACATAACAATTTCCACATTTACAGCTCACAGACATTGATGACATTTTTCATGTAGTGCTACCATTATTGCTATCCTTTTCCAAAATATTCCACCACCATTTGCATAAACTCAGTGCCCTACAAACAAAAGCTGGAAAAGGGAATGCTTTTAAGGTCGTTGAAAACACACTTCAGACTTTCGACTTAACCCATATTGTTGTGCACATGAGACTCTTAGATAGCTTTAACCTTGAAAGTTTTAATAACACAAACTCTTTCCCATTCTTGACTTGTTGACATGTAATGTTCTCTCTCAGGGTCACTGGAGACACTGGACCTTTGAATCTTTGGTTGGTGAGTCGCTAAATTAGGAATCACTGCTTTAGGAAAAAGCTAGTTCAGACTGAAAGACAAATGATGGTTTGAAGAAGTAACTCCATTTTTAAGGGTGGAGATGGTTTGGTAGTAAATTAGTTCTCCTTTTGCCCTGGGAGATTAGACAAACAATGGATCTAACTAAGAAAATAGACTGACTCATCTGGCTACAATGCTGTACTGAAGTTACAAGCAAACTAATATTAATCTCCAGGAAGAGAATTGGGTTCTGTATAGTATAAATGAATTTTACAGTCAACTTTAAAGTTTTTCATTGAAAAAATAATAAATTCCTATCTCTGAAGGCACTCTAAAACGTCCCTTTCACTACCTCGTTATCTGCTATAGCTAGGCTGAAGTCAAATGCAATTTTATTAACTCTTCCTTGTGATAAACCACCCAAACTCACTGCCACTGAGTCAGTTCCAACTCATGGAGACCCCCATTGGGGCTGTAAATCTTTATGGAAGCAGACTCCCCCTTCTGTGGAATGGCTGGTGGGTTCACACTACTGACCTTTTGGTTAGCATCTAAAATGCCTTAGCCACTACACCACTAGAGCTCCTTTCCGTAGATAGTAGTTTTGATTGCAAGAGAAATGAGGTTTGCTGTAATCTTCTTTCCTTCTACTTTTCTTCAGCATTTCCCAACTTCCTTTACTACTGACCAAATGCACTTCTCTTCAAACTGAAGTGTCCCCCAAGGTATAGATGAGGAGTTAAGTCATACCTACTAGGCAGTAATAGAAACTGTATTGTGTTAAGTAATGGATCATAAGTGAGTAAGGGTGAAGAACGGTAGAAAAATGGAATCGTGGGTCTAGAAGAGACAAGTCATCTGATCCAGACTGCCTCTAGACGCAGGTCAGGAAAGGGTGTCTGGGTGGACCTTTTTCACATCTGGATTTAGCTTCTCTTGAACTGTTTTCAGCCTTTTGCCTTTCACCACGACAGATTTCTTCTCTACAAGACACGTGGCACTCCTCTTCCTGCCCCAGGATAAAGTCCTTTGGAGTGGATTTAATTACCTTTGTCCCCAAAGGATCATCAGTTCCTTTTCCAGAAGGCCTGTTTCAGTTTTAGGTCATTCCATTGGCCTCACCAACAAGTGAAGGGCAGGTCTCATGGCCAGTCAGTAATTCTCTGGGTGGAGGGGAAGGGCTGCTAAGCTGATGGTGGTGGTGCTGGTTATGTGCCCTCGAGTGGGACTCAACTCATAGTGACCTCTCCTTGGGTTTCCGAGGTGGACTGGACGCTATGAGTCGGGGCTGACTTGACGGCAAATAACAACAACAACAATCACTACAGAAGTAGATTGCCCCATCTTCCTTACGAGGAGTGGCTAGTGGGTTTGAACCGCCAGCCTTCTGGTTAGCAGTCAAGTGCCTTAGCCACTGTGCTACCAGAGCTCCCACTCCATGTATTTGTAACGCTCCTCAGCTGTAAGGACACGATGTGCTGAGGTGGTTGGGCCTTTGAATAGTTTTTTAGGTAGTTCCGGTTCTCAATCGCAGTGAGAGAAGTGTACACCTACCTACCTTCCCCAAGATACACGTCCACACCCCTACTTCATGAGATGGCAGAAGTGAAATTGTGACAATTTACGGTTCCTCTAGGGCCATACCACCATCTCTTCTAAATGTTCCAAGGGTCTGAATTCACTGCAAGAGACTGAGACTAGGGTGGAGGTAAATTTTGGCTTGTTGTGTGCTTGGAGGAGAGAGGCTTAGGAGCCTAATAGTGTAGAGATAAGTGAGATAATTGTGATTTGGCGCCTGTCACATCGCTCCCCCACCCCTAGCACAGCCAACATGTGCACTCACTCTGAGCATGAGCGCCCCCCGCCCGCGCCTGCCCTTGCGGCCGGCACAGACCGACCAGAGCTTCCCCTGGGTCGCGGCCCAGCGATACGGAGCGGCCTGGCGCGGAGCCCCGCTCTTCCCGAGTCGTGGGTGGCGCGATGCTTGTTTCCCTCTCCTCCCTTTCCGGACCCAAATGAGGATGTATCTGGGTCAGCCTGGGAGGGGCAGGACCTGCCAGGGATTGGCGGGGGAGAAGGGGGTGGCGATGACAGCATCTTTCAGGTTTTTGGCGTCGCCGAGTTTCGCCCCGTCCAGCCTCTCACCGCGCTCGCGCCCAACGAGGGTTGACGTTCCGGCCCATGCAGGCCGGAGGGTCGACGCGGAGCGGGTCGGGGCAAGCCGGTCCTTCCTAGCTGGACTCTATCCCCGCGCCCTGTGAACAGTGCGGCCCAGACCCCCTTCCCACCCCCAAACACGCCCTCCTCGTCCCCCGGCGCGCTGCGGGTCCCTCCGCCCCAGGAAAAAAGCAATGGAACAGTTCACGGCCGCCGCGAGTTCCTCGTCTTCCTTCCTTTCCGGTGATAAACGGCAGGGCTACAAGCCAGTTGCCGCTCAAGATGCTCCACCCGCGGGCCCGCGTCCTCTCTTGGCTCCGCGGGGACTCGGACCCAATCCCGAAGGTCCTTTCACCTCTGCGAGGCGGAGCGGCAGGAGGCGCGGCGAGTGCCCAGGCCCGGACCCCGTGCGCGCGCCTCCCCGCGGACTGTCCTTCCTCCGCGATCGTTTGCGCCCCGCAACGCGGAGAGGAGCTGGGTGTGGAAAGCCGCACCTTCCCCAGGGGCTGTGCTGAGGACACTGGGTGAGGTCCGCAGCTCACGGACCTTCCCGGCTCTTCCTCGCTAGCTCAGCCTATAGGCCCAGCCCCAGCAATCGAAGCCGCGGGGTCTTCGTTCCCCGGAGGCCTCTGTTCGCCTGCCCCCCGCCCCCCGGCTTGCCCCGCATAGACGCGGCAGGTCCAGGTTCACAAGTGCACGCTCTGTCTCTGGGGGTCACGGAGACACGCGGAGCTACGAGTTA